ACATTCCCAGGTCCGTTCACATCTCATTTTCATGTCTGTTTCCTCGTCTCACTGCGGTTTGTATTTTGCACAAGTGTGCCTACTTGATTATTGATACGAATGTACTCAGCTTGTCGGCTCCGTCCTCAACGCGATGTCATAATTCTGTCACGTGTGTTCAAGACGATGCTTCACATTTCCTTTCGTTCATATTCGTCGTGCTACTCCCAATTTGTTGACACGCGCGCGCAAGAGAGAGAGAGTTCACCCATCAGTCGATTGTCAGTTACTTTGCATGCAAATGTCACATTCCTCCGTTGATTATAGCTTGTGTGAATGTTTTGTGACACTCACTCTCTCTCTCTCTCACACACACACGCGAACGAACGCACACTTATGCGCGGTCGTTCGTTGTGTTACACAATATTCTCCTCTGAGTTGGTCGCAGTTCACATACACTTGCACACCTCTTGTCCTCCTCATTCGTACATAATGAGTCTATTGATTATTGTTAACGATCCATGAAGTCAGTCACTGATGCCTTGTTTACGTTCGTCGTTGTTATTACTTTCGTTCCAGATATGATTTTGTGCTCCTAGCTTCCAGCCTTACTTTTGCTGTCTGTTTACGCTGATCGCATTCAGAGTCCGTGGCCCGACTGTGTACGCTAGACTTTTTAAGTTTTATGAGATTCCGAAATTCAGATAATTACTACAAAAGTCATCCCATAGCTAGATGGAATCTAGATTGAAACATTTTTCACACTACTACTTCTTTGAGGAAAAACATAGAAAATCCGAAAGATGCATTTCGTGGCCATTGATTGCATCAGCAGTGGTAATTACTGCAATAGAGAACTACATTATGCATATGTTCCATTTCACGTTTAAACGCACTGCAGCACATATTTTTGAATTATTTGAATCGCATTTCATACCGTGACCATTTCACATCCAGGCATCTTTTCTTCAGCGCGATCACCATCTGAATATCCTTCATGCACAATTGGTGAAAGGGAAATTAACATACCTGTAGCTGCGTAAGATTGTAAGACCCGTTCATCCAAAGGCAACGTCATCAGTGTGTGGTCACATTGCTTGATCTGTTTAAGTAACGCACACAAACAAACACCTGCACCAAACTTGCGATGTGTTCTGTAGAAATGCCGTAGTGTAGTCGAATGTTTTGCATCTAGTCAGGCGAGTTTTATCCAATGTATCGTCTGAAGACAAATATTCTGGAAGAAAAATCAGAGCTATTACATTTCTTAGCTGCTGATGTTCATATCATCATCCACTTTACTGGTTGTGTGTGTAAAAACTTTACTTAGTTCAACTTCATTCGTTGAATTATGCTTACCTCCAGCAGCTTACATTTGGCTGTTCTTTTTGACTACAGAAACACCACTTTAACACTTTTGAGTTGTATATGGAATAAACGGAACACATGTAGTAAATGAGAGGAAAAAGTGGAGGGGCACTTTGCTATTTCTTGAACCCACTTGTGAAATGTCTGGTTATTCACACGCAGCCTGATACTAAAATCATTATCACCGAATGCTCACGTGTTTCAATCATTATGTGATCCTGTCTTCTCTGATGACTAATGGTTTCAGCCTCTTCAAAGCAACAGTGCATACTACAGAACTGGTTATTCGTTCAGCGAATATTCAAATGCCACTATGTGGATCAACTTTTACAATTTCGCCATCTGTTGAGACAGACTCTAAGGCCAGCCTCGAGCGAAAACCACTACCCTCTGATTAACAAGCCACCTTTTTTAGATTTTTTCCTAATGAAAATCGTGTTACAAGCAGGTCTTTTCGACTAGCAGTTAAAGGACCGCTGTACACAGCCTCACTGACATAGTTGGAATCAGCAATGCATGAATTTGGAGCGAAATTTCAGGCGGACAATTGTTTTCAATGACAACAGTGGTTAGCCTGAAATTGTGTACTGAATACGAGTTTGGACAAATTTCGAACTTTGCAAGAACGCATGAAACGAGGACTCTTGACGACGATTTTTAGTTCTTTCTTCTCCCAAATTGATTTGATGCAGACCTGTTGCTTTCGAAATTACCCAGATTTAACTAATGAATTATGCTATTACATCATCTCCATGGTTATTAACCTCAAGCACACTGCTCAGATTAGTGGAATACTGGAATTTTCCGAAATCATTGTTTACAAATACACAGTCCGATTCCACTGACATTCGCACTTACAAACAGCCTACTCACAGCTATTCAGCAGCTAGAATAAGAATCGTGAATTCCATGTTGATCATCTCTACTATTACCCAAGTAAATATAGTAAAATAAGTGAATCTCATAATCCAAGCATACACTGTACATGGAATAGTAGAGAGAACATTCAAGCTAGAACCAGCTTTTTGATTCCACGTTTCGAAACAGGATTGTTTTAAGTTAGAGCGAAGGCTGAAAAAGGAAGGAGAGTGTTTCACAGATGTGTTGTTCTTGCGAAAGATCATCGGAAGTTAGAAATGCGACACCTGGGGATAATCACTTCCATTAAGTGGTTAGCCGCTTGCGTGCGGGACCTTCGATAGAGAATAAGTGGGAGAGAGATACGAGCAGCAATTTCAGGTGAACAGTTGATTTAATTGAAAAAAAGAAGTATTTCATAACTGAGTTTTTGGATAGGTCGCTGCTTATGAAACGTGAGCAAGCCTGCTATACTTGTGTGGTTTGTACAGTTTTCTGTTCCCCGTCATTTTTCCGGGTTGGTTGGGCTAAACAATTTCTAATTCCCTTTTCAGAATATCTACATCTTATAATCTATTTCGTGGCCATCATTGACATACTCACTCTCTACAGAATGCGCAAACGAAGAGTACAGACCTACAAAACGGTGAAACATGGTGCTGGTGCTGACATAGGCACAGTTAAACCGGAAATATACGGCCAACGGTTACTGGATTTCAGTACGCAATGTATTGAATAATTTCGACTGCCATGCATGCACGCACATGGGTGTACTTCGTTGACGTGCATTCGAGCGCTATTATGGTTTAATGACCCGGTACCCTGACCCAACCATGGACCAAATCGTGTGAACAGTCTATCCCCCATCCCTACCGTCCATTCCAAACTCACCATCGTTTCTTTTTCCCTTGCTCATTCTCCTTCTCCGTTTCTGTCGATTTGGCTCACACTCTATGCATTTCGTGTTGACTTCATGCACCCGTGTCTATTTCTCCTTCATTCTCTGTGGAAAGATGTCTTGGAACTATAATTCTCATTCTGTGATCGGAGATAATTTTCTGTATGATTCATCTACGTGAACCGAATCGTACCCTGCAGTCCAACGTGTGGCAAATGTATCTACACAACCTGTCACTCGTCCTCTACCCACTCCAAATATGACGATTCCATACGGAGCTGTCANGTCATTGTCGTCGTCCTTTTTACGTCATATCTGGGGCGCTAGAACACTTACGAGACAAGATTTCACTTCATTTGTATGTCCCATTCAAAGATTGTTTCCTTTTTCATTTATAAGCAGGTTGACCTACTTCACATGATACAATGACTAGATAGGTTCCTCTTTCATTCGTGCTCCGCGCTAGGTTGAGAGAAGAGAAAAGCTTTTGTCCACTCTCCTCCCGTTCCATACTATTCACTCCCACAACACACACACACGCAGAAATACCAAAAACTAAACCCACACACACACGAATTCTGTTTATTTACTTTACTTTACTTACAGTCCGTATCACCATGCTCACTTCCAATGGTTTCATGAAAACTATCTTTGCGAATATTTCTCATGTCGATGAACTTTTTCTCTGCTTCCGTTACTTATTCAAAAAGCACAGTAATTTCAGTCCATGTCTAAGATCGATTTTTAGGTGGCACAGCAATAAAGTGCTGCATCCTTGCTACTTGAAGGGTATCGATTTAGGTAATAAATTGAACTTGGTCTAATGTGACATTAGTCAAACTGCATGCATGTGACAACTGAATACTGCTACTGTATTTCCTGTATGTCTATTGATATCCCAATCATCTAAATCACTCTCAGTTTGGTCAGCATGCACGCTTATGAATTTGTTATGGTAATCTTGAAATACACTGGTGTCTATCTATAAACTTTGGGTCCAGAGACTTTTGGAGACCACATATGACTTCTTTGACGGTTCACTGCCCTTTGTCCAGTTAGCTAATGCCATGACCACTCGTTGGAACCCAGGTAGCACGTCGTCGGCTAACAGCGAGCTAAGAGCCGGCTACATTTGAGCTAAAAATGAGCTAAGGCACCAAAATTGTAGCCCACTTGTAGCCCATTAGTCGGCTAATAGCGCCTTATTAGCCGGCTACAACGAGCTACATTTTTGAAAATTCTGTTTTACAATTACCGTCTTCTCTGTTCGCTGATCTCTTATAAGCTCCATTTTGTATAGTGAGTGAGTGATCCACATCAAAACAAGCTTACTGTGTGATAACATGTGCGGACTTTTGTCCAGCAGTTAAATACGTGAGGAAAAATCCACGATTCATAAGTTGGGTTTGCGATAGTCCTTCTGTATTGCATTGATTTTCGCCACTCCTCTAGAACGCAAACATTCTAGTCCGGAGGCTCCCGCCTAACCAGTAGTGAAAACCATTACACCCCATTTCCGATAACAGGCGTCGGTTGACTTTTTGGATTGATCACACCATTGCATCATTCTCTCTGAGCCACTTAATTCGTCTCAAATGATGCAAGTAACTTATCCAGACCGTCCATTCACTTTTCTTTCCCACCCGATTGTCCGCGAACATTTGGACTCACATCATCCAGAAATTGTTTGACATCGACTAACAGTAACACCAATCGAGAACAAAGATTCAACATTATGATTATTTGAGTTATCATAGCATAGCATGGCGTACAGACAAAATAATGAATCATTTATTGTCTTCAATTCCGAGTCTGAAGATGATTGTAATCCAACATTTTGCTCATTGGTAATTCCAAATCACACACTCCATTTTTTCCGCCCCGTCCCGGACTCCGGTCAGAAGTCATCGTGGAACGGGTATTCCGGGTGATATCGCATTCTGTCGGGAGCAGATGTAAAGCTTAACAGAGGAACGAAAACCACTCTTACCCCACGAATGTGAATTGGCGTTCGTGGAGACCTCTACTGTTCAGTGTGGTCATTTCTTCCTCGGTCAAACTGAAGTCGAAAATCTGTTGATCAGACGAAGAAAGACAAAAGAAATGGTGGGATCCAAGTACATATTGCAATCTTTATTGAATCTCACTACGAGAGATTATTTATTGGTGGCTTCTTTTGGACAGTAGTTCCTAATCTTCGTTCATTAAATGCGGATGTATCAACATTCGACTCCAAAATACATCAGGTACAGCATGGGGACCATTTGAAATGCAATTCAGTACCATCCCTAACGCATGTCCAGGGGTCAAATTCGGAATTTCTCATTCATCATATACTTTACCACTAAACTGATGCTGCCACCGCTGAGATGACCACCTCGTTCACATCTGTCAAGGTCCCAGTCGTAGTTGTGAGTCTTTGCTATTGATCAGAATGAGCCAACTCCATAATCACAGCGACCTACTATTCATCTGTTGTGGTAAGCACACATCTGCCCCATGAGTTCTATGATTCGCGATCCACATCAGGACCAGATAAGAACAAGAATTAATTCCACTACACTGTCAGTCTTAGCATTGAGAACGTTTCTTCTATCAATCTGCTTTAGTTCACTTACTTGCAAATACGCCCTGTGTGGATTTAACATTTGAGATGACAATCGATCGCTCTATTTTGAGCTATGTCTGATTGGTGTTGTGTAACTTTGTGTGTGTATTTAGTCTCAAAGTTCCTTCAATTTTACCACAGTATCTTTCGGTTCAATCACTGTAGCGTATTTTGATATTTCGTCGTTTGTTTGTTATTGATCTGTTCTTACCTCAGTCAGCTGAATGGACGTGTTAAGCCCTCACTATGAACCGGGTAGTTCGCGGTTGTGTCCGCGTGCTCATATACACTGACTGATGCATACATCGCGGAAAAAAACAGTGATCTCAAGTTGATTTAATCCCGCTTCATGAACTGTCCGAAAACGCCATCGGACAGTTTCACTCACCTCCGCGTTTTCTTTGATTCGACTAGGTGTTGATGATTTGGGCAGGACGATAATGTTACGTTGCACGAGGTAACGCAGTAGGACTTGTGCAGGTGTTTTCTTGTGCTTTTCAGCTATTTCTTTGACCCAGGATTGCTGAAGCAAATCCGTCTCACCGCTGTAAAGGTGAAAGAAAGAGAGAGCAAATCAACCGAAGATTTTGTGAAAGGGAATACCGCTCGGATGATTTTACTTTAGCAACCCCTTAGTAAAATATACATTGCTAGGGTTCAGATGCTAAGAGAACATGTGTTTTGGCTGCTTGAATCTCAACTTCGTATGATAAAACCAGATGTGATATTGTACGGGCGTTTCAATGTTTTTTTTTCTATTTACAGTAAGGAAAAATAAGTTGTGACAATTTCCCTCAAGGACCTAAGTGCCACGATAAAACACTCCGAATAGAAATTTTACCCCCAAATGCCGCGATATTGTCGAGGGTGAGTGTCTTGGGTTGTGATGGATCACCCTTCCCCTCGCAACACGCACGCGTCCTTTGACTGGCTGCGGTACAATAATGTGTTTTCACAAGTCGTCGTATTGAAGGATTTTCTCATTATTATAGCATTTGTTCGTCGGTATATGAAATTGGAATTAATTCTACCTAAAACGTCTCAGACTTATCCAACGATTCGATTCAACTACATTTGATTCTCTCACATTTCTAAATTCGCACAGAAAAACCGGGCCTGGTGGTGAGTTACTCTTAATTCCACTCCTCCGTCCAAAATTTCCATCACTCATGAGTAAGGATATAGGTCCCTTTTTTGCGAAATTCTGGTACATATCGCATGTTCTCGGTTCTCGGATTCATTTTCATACTTGTCTGATTGGCATACAACAACCTTGATTGAACAGGCATATTGCTGACACGTTGATGTCCATCAACGGTTGTAACCTGTTCCGGCAGGACAGAGTTTTTCGTGGCAAGAAAACCGGCGGTGGTGGGAATGCGTATGCCAACACTTTGTGGTGTGCCAAGTCAGACGTTATTTACTTATACTCAAGCAACAGCACTGATTGCTTATCTCTTCAGTGTCACCCTAAACTCTCCCGACATAGAAGTATCTTCATAATAAACTTATGTATTATTGCGTTGTGTACACCAAACATCATCTCGATATCATTTGGCTCGTTTTTACCTTTTTTGCCAGTTCTGGAGGATAACCTGCAGATTATTGTAGGTGATTTTAACCATACCTCAACTCGGCCTCTCGCCGCTTAACTGGTTTACGTGTTTCACCAGAGGTAACTCCGCTTTAGACGAAATTATAAAACAAATCACCGAATTTTTCTTCCTCAAAATGCGTTCAGCCATCTCAACCAGTGATTATTTTCTACTCCTGAGGACAAAGATACATAAATGTTCTCCCTTTCATTCGGTTAGGCAAACTAATCAAATTAAAGTTCGTCTGACTAACACATCACGTGAATGCATTAGTGTTCTTCAAAGATTCCTATCCCAAGCAGCTTCCTTCCTCTTCTGCGAGCCTTCATTGAACAATAACGCTATTCCTTTTTTTCTATACAATCGATTCCATCTTTCCCATCCGTTGTCTCTTGGAAAACCTATTTCTCTCCAATGATCGTGTTGCCTCTCAGAAACTCAAAACATTAAGGACACTTCTAAAGATCACAGAAAGCATCGATGATTAAGTACATTTCCACGTGGATAAAAACGGAAATTAAGCACATCGGTTCGTCTTGTGCGAATCGCCTTCTATGCAGCCACAACAGGAGACATCTACGGAAAGTATTCGGATCCTATGTGGAGCAAAATTAAGTGTTTGTTGAACGCTGAGAGTGTAAATCGTGCAGTTATTAATCCGGACAGCAATCCTCCTCTCTCATGGATTCCGGAAGATGCAGCTCGAGAGAAGTATTTGAACTTATCAGGCTAACTAAATCATCCACGGTGTTGGTCCCGACAGTCTATCATCAGCCGTGCTAAATTATGGTGCCCTGACTCTAGTAGATGTCTTTTCTTCTCTCCTCAACACAGCATTCAGCACCTATCCTATCCCCGATCGCTTGAGACCCGTTACCATCATTCCTATTTCAAAACCGTGTAGATCCAGCACTCTATCTAAACGCTTCCGTCCCATAGTTTTAACATCATATGATCTTAAATTGGCAGAACGTGCCTTTCTAAAACCATTTCTCTGTTTCTGTCAGTATCCCGAACACCCTCGCCAGTTTGCGTACAAACCAAATAGGTCCAATCGGGATGCTGTCACCTCCGTTCTTCATTAGGCTACCGAATCCCCAGACACATCTGCGAAATTTGCGGGATGTTTTCTTAGTTTTTTCATCGACCTATGACTCCGTTACGCGTTCCCTCCTCCGTGAAGTAGAATTATTTGGATGTTCCAAGCATCTAATCGTGTTGCTCGTTGACTGCTTGACAAACAGAACTCAGCATACTCGGTTGGGTACGAAAACCGCGCGGGAATGCTCCGGGGAGCGGTACATTCTCCGTTCTGGTATTCCACCTACATCAGTGATCTGTCAGCGAGTTCTACAGCCCAACTATTGAAATACGCTGACGACATAGCCCTTTGCCAAACCATTTATGGGTCTGAGGACGTCCCAAATTTCTCCAGGCATCTATCGTATATCCACGGATTTTCCGTTCCTTCTGGGGTGTCTTTTAATTTATCTAAGTGCTTTAAATGAACTCTGACCCTCTCTCGATCGCTTTATCCCCGTGAACCTTCGATCTTCAACACAGATCCCACAAATAGGCTAGATTCGTGAACTATTGAAACAAAATAATATGGTCATCCTACATTTACAAATCTGTATAGAAACTTCGTAAATTATCATTTAAAAATCGAAGCCTTAGGCAGATCAATGCCAAACAAAAATCAGTTCACATTTTCTTTATCAATGTATTTTTCCTATTATTCTTTATTGTTCCCCTGTGGGATTTTCCGGATTACCTTAGAGATACTTAAAAACTACTCATCGCAGTTTGTTGATTAAAAGTCGCTTGTCTCTGATACCCGTTGATGATCCATCTTAATAACTGTGTGAACTACACTTGCCCGCGAGTAAAACATCTGCACAGAAAATCCTCTCTGACCCCACTCATCCTTTACATGGCGTTCTATCCAAATGCCGCTATCGTTCATGGTTTTAAAATCTGAAGCGGAGCACATTCATTAACGCGTGCTGCCTATCGTTTATTACCCTTTCGCATTACCCTTACAGAATGTCCACAGTTCCTCATCTCGCTCGGATCCTTTCAAACCGACATAGCGCTTTTTCTGAACTTCGCAGCAACAGTGGAGGTTGCATGTTTTAATCGTCTTGTTTCATCGCTTCGATGAGATGATGTGCAATTTTTGACTGAAATGCGGATATATGTGCACTCGAAAGTCTATGCAAATAAATATACAAATGCTGCCTTATGACCAAGTGTCTGAAACAGCCTCTGCTGAGGAAGCCCTACGCACTGCCTCCCCGTGGCGGAAGTGTGTTCCCACTAAAGTGAGAGAAAAAATAGCCAAAATTGTGATATGCATTCGGGTTGGTGAACCACTGATAGCTCATCTAGTGGCGATCGCTGCAAACTCTGATCGTAAACAAACCAAGAGGAGGCGTGTGAACCACACGCACACCTTGCTGGTAGTGGCAGTGGTTCCGGGTACAATTGGGTATCCAGGTTTATTTGGCACCTTGAACGTTTAACCCCGTCCAAATGGTGTGTGATCTGATGAACTGGGCACCAATCCCCGATAGATTGCGGCTTATGCGCAGCGCACCACCACCTTCAATTCATTTCAAGTGTTTGCTTTATGCACCCCGAAAGGTGGATATTCAGATGTCACATGGTCATCTAACATTTATCGAACAAAATTATAACATAATTATCGTGAGCAGTGAAAATGAAAACAATTTACGAGATAACTGAGTACAGATTCGAAGGAATGCTTTCTGCGCTGACAAGAAAACGGTTAAGATAGGGCACCACAGAAGACCGAAAAGCGGTCGTTCGAGTAAATATACACTTATAACGGGACCGGGTGGAAGAGGAGGAAACACACTTGATAAAATATTGATGTAGTGGATGTGAAGGGTTATCCATGATTTTTGTTGATAACGAAAATCATCACTTTGTATGTTGGGAAATGATGAAGTGACAGACAGTTTTACGGGAAATCCCGCTACTTCTTGATAAATGTGTTAATGGTCTGGAAAGCAGTTTAAAGTCTTTTTTGAGCATCCCTGGAAAGGTTACTGGGGACCCATACAATCATAGGGGTAAAATACATGCAAAAAGAAAAAGTTTAATCAAGAAGCGAGGGACGGATAATGTTTTCAGTCGTAAGACATAAAATGATAGTTTTTTGACCTTTACAAATACAGAGACAATTTGGTCAGACCAACATACGTTTCGGTTTATTAACACACCAAGATACTTGACGTTTGGGGATTGGACAATGGTTTCATAGCCTATTTTCAAAGGGGACAAGATTCCAAGAGNAAGGTGAGTAAGGTCAATTTGGAGGGTGGGGGTGACAGATGCATCAGGGTGGGTGATTTCGACCACAACATCGTCCGCATATTCAATAAGCAGGGAGTTTTGGAAAGTAGGCATGGGTGGAATGTAAGTGGAAAAGAAGAACGGGGATAGAATGACACCCTATAATACGCCCTGTATAGAAATTAAGGAAGAGGAGGATCGACCAAGGTAACGTATGAACTATGATTGATTTATGAAATAGTTGGTGAGTACTGCAGTAATAGTTTGCGATATTCCGTGGGAAGATAAAATATTTAACAGAAAAGACCTGTCAATACAATTGAAGGCGTCACTGTAATCCAAGAAGCAAATTCTGACAGCCTTCTTGTTTCCGTCAAGTGCTGACAGAATGTAGTGAACCAGAGAAGCTAGGGCATCTAGGGTA